GTCCCTGTCCCTGCCCCTGCCCGCCGCTCGTCCAGCCCTGGGCTCCCCTCCCCAGCTCTGTCCCTGCCCGCCACTCGTCCAGCCCTGGGCTCCCCTCCCCAGCTCTGTCCCTGTCCCTGCCCGCCGCTCATCCAGCCCTGGGCTCCCCTCCCCAGCTCTGTCCCTGCCCCCAGCTCATCCAGCCCTGCTCTGCTGAGGAGTTGGCTAGCCCATGACATGCGTTTGCTGTGCTCAAAGGTTCCTGGGCTCTGCTGAGAGTTGCTGATTTGTGTCGCTGGTGGCCCCTTGCAGGCCTGGGGGGCTAGTGGCCGGCCAGTGGGCGTGTGCTGTGTCCCGCGCTGGGTAAGGGTGGCACCTTGTGGCTGCGTGATGCTGGGAGCGGTTGAGCGATGTAGGGGGCACTTGTCCAGCCCGATTCCTCTCCCTTGTTGATGTGCCGGATGTGGCTTTCTGCCGCCTGTTCCACGGGCCCCAGTGCCGGTGTCCTGCGGCTGCGTCTGTCTGTGGGGCCCAGGGGGTCACCGCTGGGGGGAAGAAGATGAGCGTGTTCTCTGCCGCCCTGCCTGCTGGGCTGAGGCGCTGGCCATGTGGCGGGGGTGGTGCCAGCTGTGGGGGGAGTGACTGTGTGTGCGGGGGATGGGGTAGCGCTGGGGCCAGGGTCCCTGAGGCACTGGCAGGGGGTGTGTGTGGGGCGATGGGGGTAGCAGCAGTGCTGCGGGGGCGAAGGGGTGAGGGCTCCGGAAGCGCTGACAGTGTGTGTGTGGTGGGGCGTATCAGGGGGATGGGGGTAGCAGGTGGGGCCAGGGCCCCGGGGCGCTGACAGTGTGTGGGGAGGTGGCGAGGGGGATGGGGGTAGCAGTGGGGCCAGGGTCCCGGGGTGCTGACAGTGTGTGGGGAGGTGGCAGGGGGATGGGGGTAGCAGTGGGGCCAGGGTCCTGGGGCGCTGACAGTGCGTGGGGGGTGGCAGGGGGATGGGTGCTGGCAGTGTGTGGGGGTGGCAGGGGATGGGGGTAGCAGTGGGGCCAGGGTCCCAGGGCGCTGGCAGTGCTGGGGGCGCAGGGGCGAGGGCTGCCGGAGCTGCGTGGGGACGGCGTTGGCCGTGCCGTGTTCCTCCCAGCAGAGTGTGGGGGTGGGGCCACTCCTCCCGCAGCTCGGGCTCTCATTAGCACCGCTCCCGTGGCGTCGGGTCGCTTTGTGTGGAGTCAGGAAGGCCGGGCTAGGAGGAGGAAGGGCTCCCCCCCACGGTACAGCCTGTCTGAGGCTCCCTCGGCTGCTGGGGGGGGTCTGTGCGGAGCATGCTCTGTTAGAGCAATTAGCCCCACTGCCCACAGGGGGCCGGGCGCCCAGCCCCCTTTCAGGCTCTTCGGGGTCACTGGAGTGCTTCAAGCAGGCTGCCAAAGGCAGAGGGATTTCATTGCCCTAACGATCCGCCCTGGCTGGCACCTGTCAGTCTCCGCCCTGCCGCTGGGCCGGAGCAGCTCCCGGCACAGCCCTCTGGGTGGCACCTCAGTCCGTTTCCTTCGGTCGCGGCTTCTGCCTGGGCGGGCGCCACGGGAAGCAGGATGGCAATCCCCCTGCTCCAGGGCACGGGTGCTTGGATGGCTCCCTCGAGGGGCGCCCGTCTCTGCTCTGTCCCTGCTGCAGTCCAATGGGGGCGGGTGCAGACGGACCCCACCCAGCTTAGCTTAGGTCCCCCGGGCAGTGGAACTGCAGCCCAGGCATGTCCTTGGGTCTGCGGCTGTCGCGGCTCTTGGCCCCTGAGCTAGGCAGATGGGCGCTGGCCCGGGCGTGCGCTGCCCTGGGGGGCTGGTGAGTCACACCTGTCGGGGCCCTACCTCGCACTGTCCCCATTCCCAGCTGGGCTGCCTTGTTCTGTAGGGGAGGGGTGCCCAGCTAGGCTGCTCCGCTCTGTCTCCTGCCCTCCAAGGCCTGCTGCGAGGCTGGGTGCTGTTAACCTTCCGAGTCCTTCCCTGCTGGGCTGGGGACCCTCTAGCCAGGAGGGGTGGCGGCTAGAGCAGGGAGCAGTGCCAGTGCCTTTGCTGCAGCTACCCGAAGGGGTGGGCGGCCTGGGGGTCTCTCCATGAGGACACCCCGCCCGCTGGCACGGGCTGCGGGGGGACCGGCAGGGTCTTGCTGGGTTCACCAGGAGGCCCCTTGGCTGGACAGTTTGGGCGGGGAGGAAGCAAGTCTTGTGGTGACGATTCACAGGGGAAGGCGTGAGTAGGAGGGGGAGCGGCTGGGGGCAGCAGATCAGGCGAGGTGGCCGCAGGAGGGGCTGGAGCCCCGTGGAGGCTGAGGGCTGCACACAGAGACCCCTGCTCCGGGACTGAGAGGGGACAGCCCCTCTGGGGGGCTCTGGAGAAACTCCCTGGGACTCTGCACTCGGCTCTGGTCCCTGGATCCCAGCATGGGATTGGGCTTGAGAACTCTGGAGTCCCTGGCGTTTGGGCGAAGAGGGGAGGAGGGTCCCCCAGCGCTGGGCCGGGCAGCCCTTCCCATGGCGAGGAGCGGAGCCCGTGCTGTTACTGCCAGTGCCAGCTCTCCGGGGCCCTCATGGCGTCGGCGCCAAGAGCTCCTCCGGGGGCTTCCCATATGGGACGTAGAGCAAACTGCACCGGCTCAGCAGTGCCAGGCTGGGTCTGCGAGCGCCTGGTGCCCAGGAGCTCTGGACTGACTGACAGAAAATACAGCAGCCCCCACCCGCGGGCCATCCTTGTGCCCCCTTCGCTGGGGTTCCTGAGCGGATGGTTCGGGCCGGAAGGCTGCAGTGCTTTCTCTGCCCCGAGCTGTTCACATCTGTACACAGCTCTCCGCACCAGGGGGTCTGCCGTGGGCAGCTTGTCCTCCGTCTCTCCCCCACCCCGAGGGGACCAGCGGTTCTGGGGCCTGTGATCCTGACCTCGGCCCCAGGGCTGGCCTGCATTCATTCCCGGCTGGACTAGAGCAGGGCTTTTAGAAAACCAGCCAAGCCTGATTTCAACATTGCCAGCAACAGAGGCTCGTCTGCAGCCTTGGTGAGTGGCTCCCTTCCCTCCCTGTTAGAAATGCTCGCCTTCTCTCCGACCTGGAGCTTGGCCAGCTCTGCTCGAGGGAAGAGCCCCCATCAAACCTTGGTTCCCCAGGTAGTTCCTTACAGCCTGGGATTGTCCCCCCAAACTTCTTGTTACGCAAACTCCATCAAGCTCCCGCAGCCAATCCCGGGAAGGCCACAGGGCAGCAGCCTGTGCCTCTGGACCTCCAGGGTCCCGGCTTCCTGTGATAGCCCCCCCTCCTGTAAGTATGGGCGTAGGGGGGAGGCTGCTTGTACCCTGTGCTCTCTGCATAGGAGAGACGGCAGGTCAGAGGAGTGCACCTGGCATGGGAAGCGGAAGGTGGGGAGCTCTAGGTTGGTCTGTGGGTCCTGTGGGGTTTGCTCCAGGCTGGGACTGGCCCCTGAGCAAGCTCCGTCCCTTGCCCAGGCGCTGGACAGAGCCGAGCTGTGGACCCTTTCAGATAACCTGGAGGATAAGGATCGACGCCTGGACTTGCTATTCTGGGGGGCACAAGTGCAGCGAATGGAGGCTGGGTGCGACGTGCTGGTAGCCAGTGGCAGCTCGCCAGCTGAGCTGCACGCTCTGTACTCATTGGAGTTTCCCGAGATGGCCACTTGGCACTTAGCCAGGCAACACGGCCGAGTCCATCTGGCAGGTGACAGACCCATGTGTCACTGGGGCTTGGTCCTTGTGCACCCGGACGGGATGCAGTTTCCTCTCCAGTCATGGCTGTGTGACTCGTTGGCACTGCTCTGGGGGAGCGTAGCTGCGCGCTGGATGGATGCGGTGCTCCCTTGGCAGGTGGGAAGGCCCAGTGCTTTGTCGGTGCAGCATGGGAAGGGAATTGCAAAAGCCCAAGCTTGGAGACTCAGACCTGCCTGCGATTCCAGCTACCTGTGCAACTTCCTGCTGCAGGATGTTGTATCAGATACTGAACAGGCCAGCGGGGGGGACTCCTGTGGCAACATGCGGATTCCTGTACAGCTCTCCTGGCGGGGGAGCAGGGATAGGGTCCAGTAGACAAAATAAATCTGATGAGATTCAGGGACAA